GAGTACTGGGGAGTCCTTCAGCCAGAACCAATATACTCGAGGACTCAAAGGTGGTACGTCATTGATGACTTCAAGGAGGGTGAGGAGATTTGCTGCGATTACTGTTTGGTCTGCAATCCCATAGACTCCGATCTGAAAGACGATTGCTATGCAGAATGCATCAACGGGGCAGCAAATAGATGCCGTGGGATGTCCGCAGAAGACTATGTCCAGAAGCGATTCCATGCATGTGCTCGATTGCTTTACAACTTCGGCATGGGGCAAACGGTATCTTCTCCCACCGTCATGATCTCCGAGATGAACCCGCACGTAGACTTGATGAAGTTCTTACACGAAGCGATGATCATCTTTAACGGGAACCCCGGTTTCCAGAAGGAGCTCTCGTTCTTCGGAGGGATCAGATTGTCATCAACAATGACGGAGAACTTCTTCAAAACGAGAAGAGGACCCAGCATCCATGTGGAAAAGCAGATAGTCGGCAGCGCCAAGTACTACCAGGGATCCTATGACCTTGGAAACGTGTGCTACACCAAATACCTCAAGACCATACTGGAGCCCGATGTATTCCGCACGATGTTCGGAGATGATCCCACGGAGGAACGGGTAGGTGATATGGTGGAAGCGCTGCTGGGCATGTTAGAAATTGCTCAGCTCTTCAAACACCTGTTCTTGGGATGGGGTGACATTGAGGCTTTGAGGACGGGATTAGAAGAATCCATCAAGCGCGTCACTGCATCGCTGTATGACAGGACAACGTATGAGAACCGAAAGCGATCGATGATCAGAACATTGGACCCGCACTCTGAAGAGGCGGCAAACGTGGCACAGATTCTCGTTCGCATGAGGACCATGCCGCCTCCTGAATTCGACATCGACCACTTCTTCGAAATCGGGAAAGAGCCAGAACATGGAGCAGAAGCTACTGGCCAGCCCGAGGCCGAAGGTGTCGATATGGAGACTGAATGTGAGCAGGAGAAGGAGGAGCAAGACGTTGACATGTCCGATCCGAAGACATCAATACTGCAAGCCATCGACGAGTTCGAGAAGAAGATCGGGCAAGCAGAATTCTGCATCCACTGCATGAAGTCGGGACACACAACTCTCAATTGCGAGAAGATCCCTTCGTCTTCACCCACAGTCACCTCAGTGTTAAGTGATTGGAAGAAGAGGGTGAAGGGAGAGGTTGCACCCGACGATGTACCATCCGGACATCCAACCGATGAGCCTAAGAAGAAGAAGCAGAGAGCATCGCCTACTCCAGATAGGAAGGTCGACAGCGAGTTCAGGCGAAAAGAAATGTTGAAAGCAAGAGTCGTGACAATGTTTGACCATGACGGGTTCACCTTGATTGAAAGTGCCGATGGAGTCGAAGGAGGGACACATTCCTACAATGGGCGGAAGCTTGCGGAAGTAGGCCCTAGGGATATGAGGGTGGTGTACGAATTTGTTGAGAGGGCATTTGTGCACTCCAGTTCCCTCAAACCAAAGGCATGTCATCAATTCTATCCCCTACCGACACGGAGGGAGAAAGGATACAAGCCGATCGACCCCATGACGATGATCGGGAAAGTTGAGCTAGTACCGATCAACGGAGTCACTTTCGCTGCACAGAACTCCGACTACGGCAACCTCAAGTATCCGACTCGAGACTGTCGAGTACCTGAATACAGCCAAGCGAGTCAGGCCCTGAGTCGCCGATTGGGAGCGAAGTTGAGGCATCGAATTGGACGCCAGTTCAGGACTGGTGGAAGACTCACACCAATCAAATGCGATGAGGGCGCATGGGTGTCATGGGAAGACCTGTTAGCTGATAACGCAGTTTGGGAAGACGGTTATCACTATGGCAACATAGACATCGTGACCAAGAAGGCGCGTTTGGAGAAGTACCTCGACCAGAACTATGAGTGTTTCCGCATAACCAAGAGGATCTGATTCCAAATGTTGGCGGTCCGAGTTCACCCTGATGAACTCAATGATCCTGATGACCCGATGGAGAAGGAATGGATTGACGAGCTCAAGGGCATGGGAATCTCCAAAGGAAGACTCCACAATAGCGATGGATGGTGCTTTCCCGTGGCTGTAAGAGCAACCTCAGCACACTCGTCGGACGGTGGAGGTTATGACGTTACCATCAACATCGACCACATTGGATCAAGAATGACCAACGACATGGCCCTATCCATGGTGACTGCATTTCACGCTACCAATCTTGGAGCGCTGACTTCAATCATGCGACGGGGGCTAGTGCCAGGAGGTCTCGGTACATCGGGAAGGGATTCTATCCACTTCACATGTTTTCCGCCATGGGCCTGGGAGCAGGGCTACAAGGGAAAACCTTGGCTGGGTCGTAAGGTCGCATTGAGTGATCGCCCGGTGGTTCTCTACATTCCGGTGTCGAAGCTGCAGGAGTACGGGCTTCTCATCTCAGCGACTGGATCTCTATTGGTTGAGGACGTCGTTCCCTTCGATGAGGTTAAAGGGGCATGGTTGCAATGCGACAATGCAGAACCCGGACAGCCTGAAGAGATCGAATGGATCAGGTTACTCAATAGAGAACCCGACCCTGGAAGCTACCTTGTTCTGGAGTCCAAATACGGAAACCCGATCATGACTCCACGCTATCAAAAGCTTGAGAGCTTAGCGGTTGAGGTCCAGGATGATACCTACTCCGAGGACGACGCCAAGATCTCAAAGCTGCTGGGCATGGTCGAGGAGAGCGGTGTCTACCCAGAGTACGATAGCACCGAATGGCAGGAAATCTTTGAGGAGATCGTGTACCGCCGAGCAATGAAAGACTATGACTCAAGACCGTGTCCCAACTGTCTTGGCGAAGTCGATGTGCGATTGACGATATGTCCGCACTGCGTGGCGGTTCTGATCGCAAATGGGAAGCTCACGCATGTGGTACCCAAGGAGACAAGGGACCGCAATCAACGATCACCTCCGAGAGACGTACCAGCCAGTTCTTCCGGTGAAGCAACTTCTTCTGCAGGTGCAAACATCGATGAAGTCATCAAGAATGCACGTAAGACAGCCGAAGAGGTCATTGACGTCGAGGAATCCGAAGGAGAGGAAGATGAGGAAGTTCCTATCATTTTGAAGGAACGACCGGATGAAGCTGAAGGCGAACCCGAATATCGGGAGGTCCCTCAAGATGGATACGGGAATGAACTTCCACAGCCTTTCCCCTTCGCAATTGACGAATTGCCGCAAGAAGCTGCGATCCCCATCGACCACAACTTTGCAGTCACACAGCAATTTGATCTGAGGTTGATGAAGTTGATCAAGAGTTTGGCCAACGCAACGTTCGACATCAATTGCTTTGAGAGTCGTGAAGACGTACTGCGAAAGTTTGACGATGGGCAGCGGCATGATACTCCATACAATAGATGGCCATTAGTACCGAATGATCCGGATACTGGGTTTCCAAGACGCCTTCAGAGAGCCGAAGTCGTAGGCATGAGCAAATGGACCAACGACACGTATGCAACAGAAGCGTGGCAGATCTATGAGTTCCATGCCCACGTTATTCACCCGATGATGATCACTGCAATCCGCTGCGGGCTTAGCCACAAGTATCTCAAAGAGGTCGGCAGCACTCGGCGTAACATGAGTGATCCGAAGGCTCGAAGATCTGAGACCCAGGAGGAGATCATCGAGAAACTGGCATTCATCTCAAATTTCATCAGACGCTTGATTAGGAAGACTTTCGGAGCGAGCCGATATAGTTACTACCAGAAACCAGACGACGAAGGTGCCGCTCCATACAAGTTCATCGACATTAGCCCCGCCATCAAGTCGGAGCGAAAGAATGTCACAAAGGAGATCCTCGTTGCATGCCGCTACTATGGCATAGAGGTATCCGATACTCAGACACAGAAGTTGAAGTTCTTTGAGGAGCAGATCCGAAGGGGAAACCCGAGGAACGTTGAGCTCATCAAGGACTACATTGGCTTTGTCGGAACTGACTACATGCGACAACTCACGAATGGTTGAGCATCGGGGTCATACCGACATACTACTTCCGGTACTTCGAGTACTGAGGGATCTTGGGTAATTCATGATGACCATTTTGGCATCATGGGAGTGAGATAGGATTGTGTTTCACACCATTGGTAATCGCATGATACCATAGGTAGATGCACGTTTTCCGTTTGTAGCTCCGTTACCTGTTTGATCCAACTTCCAAGCGAATGCAAAATCGTTTGCTAATTCAGTTCAATAGGACATACTGGTTGACCTCCAATGCACTTTTGAGAACATGATTCGTTCTCCGGTTTTTACATCCACTCATCTCCCTTACCCGTCGAAGCACGGATGTGGGGGGTGTCAATAGGGATGGGGTCCCAGTATAGTCGCTATACAGGTACATGCCATATACGTTTGGCTCAAGTGCCCAACCAGGTAAAAAGGAGCTTTAGCGCGCGAGCTTCATGTTGAACTAAGGGCTAGAACGGGGCCAGGGCACGCTTTCCATCCGTTCGCATATATATATATATATACACACAGCAGTATACTATAACATAGTTGCCTTACTATAACTGTAGTATATTACTATGTATAACCGTAGTATATACAATAGTATATAATTACCCTGCCCTTGGGATGTTCAACCTTTTTACCAGGATTGGCACCAGTCGTAAGATATGGAGTGCATACATCGAAAGCTCAGTGGATGATGGATTCGCACCGCAAGCATCACGCAAATCGATGGTTTTATCCATTGGTCCAGCAGCTGTTTTGGTTCCTCAACAATTGACCCCTTTGGGGGTCGGTTGAGCCTGTGGGGTGTTTCCCCACCAGCGATTTGGAGGTGTTTCTGTCATTTGAGGATCCTTTAGGATCTTGGGTCAGTTTGGGTCATTTTTGGGTCACTGAACAAGAACCGCAGTCGCAAAAAAGGACATCCTTTCCACACGAAAAAAAAAAAAACAACGGGGGCCATGTCGGGGCTTTCCACGACGATCGACCGGCACGACAGCTGTTCGCTCCGTGCCCAGAAGACTCGGGTGGGCCCTCCAGTGGTGATCAAGGACGGGAGGGACCGCAACGACGACGGTGGGACCTGGGGTTGCCAGGAACCGATGGAAGTGGTTCGGGGGGTAGAGCCGTGAAGGCGTAGAACGATACGCGGCTGGCGCGGCTGCATGGGGCTGTAGAGATGGGGGTTGGCTCTTTTCGAAACGAAACGTGCAAGTCGGAGCCGTCCTGCGGGTTGTAGGAACAGTTTTCAGACTCTGAAGACCTGTAAAGAGACCGAACCAAAGGAGCAGTGACAAGTGATTGGCAGCAGCGGTGTCGCTTGACAATTGGTCAGGTGTTTCTCTTCGTCCTGTAGGAGCCCCACTAGTCACTATATAGTTAAAGAAAAGGGCCACTAGGCGGGGTACCTCCTGGTTTTCGACAGCCTAGTTTTCATGGATTTGATTCTGGTTTAGAATTTTGATGAATTTTGACTGGTGTGGGATGTACTCTTAGACATTCTTAGACCCCTGGCATCTCCCTTTTATTTATGTACATTGCCCTCCTTCGTGCCCTCCTTCGTATCATGCCAGGAGCAGGAGGCGGCGATCGGCGCGGCCATTGGCACCAGCCTCGCTGCAGGCTCCGCCACCCAATGTCCTGGTCTCTTTTCGATCTTCTAAGTATCAAACTGAGGAGATCTCACTTTTATGTCACCACATGTCACCACCCATTTGCCTCTTCAAGCCCCAGAATGAGGATATCAATCGACATGTACAACACTCTCCGATCAGCTGCCAAACCCATCGTCCTCCACAAATTTGCCAAAAACGACGAGGCTTGGGCATTGCCTTGGGTGTGGGTTTGGGCCTCTCGCCGGCCATCGCCGGAGCCTTCCTCGCGACGGGTACCTTTGAGCTGTTTGGATGGGGAGAAACTCGGGAGGAGAGGGGGGAAGGACGTGGGAGGGGTGTGAAAGGAAGCTCGAATGGGTCGAAAGTGTGTTTGTTGTTCTGAAGGATGGCCTTTTGAAGGGCTTTAGATATTTTGCAAATGTAACAGCGGATCGTTGAATAACAAATGATGCTTAGGATGGCTTAGATTATATAATGATGTGATGTGTGTTTTGTGTGTGTGTTGCTGAAGGAGATAGAACGTCAAGGGCACCGGCTTGAACTAGAGAAACATGGTCATCGCTGCTGAAAATACGTAATGATCGACCATCATCCACGGTGTTGCCTCTCGAATCGAGTCTTAGGCCGTTTGTAAGAGAAAGCGCTGCTGGGCTCATTCCCGTCCTCTCTTTTTATATAGGACGGAGCTGTTGAACCTTCGACAATTCCTCTCACATGCTCACGCCACTGCTACAAGCAAATTGAAACTTAGATGACTCTCATATATTATCATATGAGTTAGCAGGGCATCCCATTTTAGCTCTCGAAGAGTAGCCTTCCAGCCTTGGCTGAGCCTTGCTGACCATCGGTCATGAGATGCTCTGTGTGCTGGCCAGGTCGCTTTACTTTGTTGGTGAAGGATCCAGAGGACTTTGAGCGAGCCTTGACCAGCAAGCGTGAATCCAAGCGTGGGCATCCGAGAAGATCCCTTCAAACATTGTTTTGATAGTATTTGTTGTTGATCTATATGTGTCTTTTGTGGATTCTTTTTGGGCGGAGTCTTCTTTTGAATGCTTTAATGCTTTTCGATGCGAAACGAGAGTGTTCGGTGCCGGTGAACTCCGTCTCGCCGAACCTCGCCGAGGCGATGAGCGCGCGACACAGGCGCTGAAGCGGGCGGTCGCCGAGTTGGCCGGGCCACAGGTGACCGAGGCGCGGCTCTGCGTTGAGGAAGGCCGTAGGAGCAGAACTGGTTGAGCCAAATGGCACAGACACATGAGAGGACCACTTTTAATTTTGTTTACAGGGACAGTAAACAGGTGATTGAAACGAATTGGTTCCTTCTGTCCGATTGTGCTGAGGTGTTCTTGATCTGCACAGGTTGGGTCGGTGAGTCGTGCCCCGAGCAGAGAAACCTTCGATGAAGAGAATGGTCCATGAAGAGACTGGGAGATACGGAGAAAAGCCAACCACCAAAATGCGGGGAAAAGCCAACCACCAACACCTCTTTGTCGTAATGTACTGTCGGATTCGACCAGGTTGCTTGCTTGTCCAGGTTGCTTGTTTGTTCCTTTTCATTTTCATGGGAGGATTGTCTTTCTATGTCTTTCTGATGAAGGGATGAGCACATGGCAGATGCCATGTCGTTGTATCATATCTAGTCCAAAAAACAAGTGGGTAAATTCAGGACCAACGTCTCAGCTTTTAGATAGATTTTCTCACGGACTCCCAGTGATTTCTGCAAGAAGCCGGGAGTCCGTAGTCTTCAAGACGTCTGGCCTCTTCAGACAGGCCGCTGTGACCTTGGTCTTCGGCTGCATCGCCACGGCGGCCGGTGGCATCCGAGGGCGGCTGGCGCGGATGTTGCAGAGGATGCTGGATGTGTGCTTCCAGGTGAGCCTAAGTGAGCCTAATTTGGTCCGTTGGATGTGTTGGCGCCAGGGCAAAGGCGGCCCAAGGACTTTGTTCGATGATTTAAGTTGATGTTCCAATGGATTGTCCTTGTTCAGAGAGATGGGCCCCAAATGGCGTTTCAGTCGAAGTTTGCTCCTACCAGCCTAGCCTTGCAAGGCGATAAACCAAATTGAATGATGGTCGTACGGTACTGTCCTTGAATCATGGATAGTTTGTTCACTGAATTGGGCAGGGAAAGCTATACTGTAGATTCTATTGGATATCCAACTTGATGAGCAAGCACATCGTTTAGGCAGCCACCTTCGATTCTCGTTTAGGGCTAGACACAGAAACCCGCGCAAATGGTGTGCAAGGCCTCGATTTGCACGGAAACGGCACCAATCATGGCCTACACACCGTGGCCTTTACGGTGTGTTTTCCAAAAGGGCATGTTTGAAGATCCAGGTATATCCTGGTGGGAAGAAGAATTAGTTTATATAACATCCTCAAATAGAGAACCGCTTCGAACAGCCACTTAGAGAAAACAAGATCCACGACTTGTCGGCAAATAATTACCTATTATTGTTACATAAAAGCTGAGTGATCTCTATTTTTGACCACCCACCAACCAACATATTGCCTTTTCCTATCAAAACAGGGGTCATTGGCTTGTCATTGGCTTCTTCTCGCTTTCATGGATTCCGAGGCATCAACGCAAAAAAGAGCCAACCACACAGCCCGCCCTAAGGAGCTTTGGTGAAATACCAATCAAATGGGTTTGGAAGAACCAGGTGTTGTTCTTCGCCTTTGTGTTGTTGTTGACCTTTCAATGAGTGGAGCATGGGCACCTTGACTGTGGGACCCACAAAAAGCAACTCCTTAGAACCCCCAATATCAAATAACTGCATCACTTTCCAACCAACCAAACTTGAGTTTATGCGTTGAGGGACAAACAAATAAGTTGTACTATGGTGTACTTCATAAACCTTCATAACCTCCTAGGTTAATTTAAAGGGATCCAGTTGTTCGATGTCCTGATGTTCGGGCCGGCAGCGCTGCGCTGCTGTCGCCCTTCAGGTGGAACTGGCAGGGGAGATCACAAGCCTTTGGGCAGCAACTAAGATCTCTCCTCAGCTTCGAGCCCTGAAAAAGGATTCGATACGGTCACGGCACTCTGGTGCTTGGGTCTTTGGAAGCCAAAGTCAATACATTCTAGGGATTCAAAGATGACCCTGGACCTTCCGGATTGGGTACTGTTTCTGTACCTGTTCGCGGAGGCTTGTTTCGGAGATTCGAATCCCGCCTGCAGTGTGGCAAGTCCAGCTGATTTTCCCAAAGACCGAACCTCAGAAGACATTCGGGCATGGCAGCTGGGTCGTAGCATCACAAAGCAAATTTGCGTCTTTCTCCGCCAAGCCCACTGGGGCTGCGCTTGGAACGACAATCAATTGTCAGTCCAAGAAACGTCATTCATGGAAAACTGTCGGGCTTAGTTACGATGTCGAATTCAAAAAAACATATTCTACAGTAATCTTCACTGCCTATGAAAGGCCGTGACGGACAGGGACTGCAAGTCGCGCTATTCTACAGTAATATCTAGTGACCACGGGGTCGCATAAATGTATATTCAAGGGGGGGTGTACCCCCCCCTCTCAACATAATACCCAATCTCCAGATGTCATTCCCAAGAAGCTGTAAGGTTCGCCCTCATACAGAAGCAGAAAAATCAGCTTCCAGAATTGTCAAGGATTCTTCAACTAGGAATTGTTCGAACCCCCCTGTTCATACAATGGCCGCAAATGCCATCCAAAAGGATGTAGATGTGCTGATGTTCATAGGTGAGTGCGTCCCCCCATCTGCATACAATAGAAGAAATGTATGAACTGACCCCCCCGTCCCTTTGCAGAGTATATCCAACCAGTCTTGCACAGCAGTGAATGGAGGGGAATGGGTTGTGGAGGTCATCAACTCTTTATCCAAAGTCACTTCACTATACTTACACTTCTGGCCCTGCCTGCGGTGACCGAGTTTTTGCGGTGACCCTTTGGCTGCTCCGCTTGGTTTAAAGAACACCCCAGGGCCGGACAACGTAGACTCTCCAAGGTGAAGAGGTCTGCCAACGTCTCTCGTCCTTCAACAGCGCTGTGGCGGCGCAAATCATCAATCGCTATCTCTCGGAAGCGGGCCTTGACCCGGATGCCGTGGAGGTGGTGTCACTCGACGAGTGGAGGTGAGATGAAACAGAGAAGTGAAGTAAATCGGTGAAAGGCGGTGAGAGGAGGCGATGTGGAGAAGAAGGGACAGGAGGTGAGCCCGCAAACTGAGCTTAAGATAAGTACATAGTTCAAGAAGTGCGCCTGGGGCATCCATAGGTCGGTGTCCAATGGAAGTCCAGAAGTAGTGTAGGATAGTCCATTTAGTGACCCATGGAATGATTCTGATTCTGGTGACTTCTGGCATGTTGTTTCTTTCACAGGCTTATACTGAGAGAAGAAATGATCCATGGTTTGTTTTGCGTCTACTTGCAGATTTCTGGAGGACAGCTTTCATTTCTTTGCAACAAGTGGTAATGACATTGCGTGACATATCATGCAAAGGCGTGACATGTGGACACCTGTTTTTTTTTTGTGTGTGTGTTCTCCACATTATGTGCTGTGGATTTACTAATTTGCTGTACGTTGATGTTTCTTTCCACCATCACTTCCGTCATCACCTCGGATCCTTTGGTTTCCCGCCGAGGCGCTGGAGCGCCGATCCCAATCCCGTGGCCGGGAACCCGGTGGTGGGGAATCCCACCGCGCCGGGGCTTCCAGGCTCTCAGGACGAGTTCACTCCACCCTCGGGGGTGTTCTTCGGGCGACTGAAGTGAGACATGAAATGGTGGAACGAAAGGAGTTCCGCGCTGTTTTGAGTGGGAGAGCAAAGAAAGAAGAGGTTCTCAAGCACGGTAGGTTTTTGGTTGTGGTGGGTCAAGTGGAAATGTGCTGGAACCGTTTGTGTGCATATAGTGGAAGACTACGCCTTGATTTTGAGTCCTTTGGATCCGCTGTTCGTTGATGGTAGCTAGGCTAATCTAGTGCGATCTTTGATGGCTGATGGAGCTCAAATCAGACTACATAACGTGAGTCTTGGTTGTGTGAACACCCATCTTCAGTATATACACCCGTTAGAAGACTTTCAAGTCCCCGGAGTGCTGGTTTGTACGGTGGTTGCATGTGGTTGCCCAAAGAGCAGTGTTGGAGGGGGGGTGAGGCAAATTCTATGAACTTTATGCTTCTTGACCTCCAAACATGTTCATATCTGAAGGGAAGACGCTTGTTTTTGTGGCGTCTTCGACGCATTGGGCCGGGCGACTGCGCCGGGCGACTGCAGCCCGCCTCGGCGGTTGATGTCTGCGAACTCGGATTCCGGATCAGGTGGACCAGAGGACCTTTGATCCTAGAGGGAGCCAGATCAGCCAGGGTGTAGCAGGGTGTAATTGATAAATAGACCCTTCCATTTGGATTGAACAACCTCGGGGGGTTAATCAAGAGTCTACAAGTGAGTCTACACTATTGAGTTGGTTTCCCAGAATGATCAGTTTCTTTGAGCCAGATCTCCATCAAAAACAATTAACTGCAAGCATATTGCAGCACGGCAGGAGAAGGACCATGGCAAAGATGAAAAACGTCTTTGTGGGCCTTTGTAGACAGTTATCACCAGGGTTGCGGGCTCGCTTCAATGCACCCAGAGCTCTCCGCAGCTCTGCTGCAATGGAAGAACTGGGAGAGGTGAAGTCACAACGCTGGTTACAAAGAACTGGAGGAATTTTACAGCTCCTGAGCTTCGAAACCGATGGGAAGCCTGGAAGCATTTGACCAAGCTGCAAAGTCAGCTAAGCAAGTACATTTTGCTGGCTTCATGGTCAGTTGGTCCACTTCGTTGATTCTGGATCCCGTGTTGAAGTTGAAGTTGCCAGTTTCGGTTTCAGAAGAACGAGAGCACTGGAAAGCAGGCAGAGGTGGCAGGCATTGATCTTCCCACGAGGCGTTGTAGGCCTTTTTGTCTCTTTTTGGGCCGCAGGAGGGCCCTTGAGGTTTATGTTTCAGATGTGACTTGGCCACAAAGCCAGCTCGTCTGAGGAGAATGCCCACCATCGTGAGACATGAACGAGCATACTTGGTCAATAGAAAGAGAGAGAGAGAGAGAGAGAAAAAAAATAAAAACACACAAAAAAGACTTGTTTGATTGGGAGGATGGCACGGTTGAAAGGAGTGGTCCATCACGTGTACAGTTTCGTCCTTAAATCTGATAGGACTGATGTTCCCAAAAACACACCTTAAAGCTATCGCTTGTCCGTTTATTTGGAGGGTTACGCGCAACAGATTCGATAGTTGCACAGATTGTGTCTGGGATGATATCAAATGTTCTTGTGGATAAGAATATGCAAGAATACACCAGATTGACCACGCAATTTGCAGAGAAGGCAATTGAATTGAGATCGATGTGCAGGTTCACTTGGTACAAATGAAACAATTGGGTGGGCCAAGACTCGTCCTGACCGACAAGAGTGAGCGGCGCCACAGGCACATGCTTCGAAAAAGAGGAGTGTTTGCACCGGAGATTGGCAACCTTTCAGGAGAGCTTCCGCTAAGTTACCAAAGTGATTTCTATCCCCCCAGCATATTGATGCCTTGACCAAGAAAAAGAGAACTGGGTGTGGGAATGGCATGGAATGGCTGGTAAGAGACGACAAAGATCAAACACGCAGAAGGAAGAAAGACACAAAAAGAACGTATTTGGGGTGTTTACTTTCATAGGGCCCCCCTGGCACTGGCTGGGTAGACTGATCTATTTATTCCAAGTGGTGGAAGTATTTCAATCCACACCCACCAATGGGGCTTTCTCCAGGTCGGTCGGACGGTCCGTCGACGGATTCCAGTGGGTCGGTCAAAATGCAGCTGGACGGAGAGGCCTGGCAGCTGCACGGGGAATCCAGGAATCCAGATGGAATCCTGTCTCGTACCCCTTCTTGTTCGCACCCCAACACTCCGCATTGTTGGGGGTTCTGCCATGTTTCTGCCATGTTTCGAGGGGAGATGGAAAGCAAGCACGTACCCTGGTGCCTAGAGTTCTGTACCCTGCAGTATTGCTGGACCCCGCTGGACCCCAATGTTTCAGAACTTTCCCCCGAACTGACCGACTCGGTAGTCCGACGTCCAGTCATGTATGTCAGTTTACCGAAGTGGACCATGACCGTCAGGTCAGTCCAAATGATACGGAATCATTGGGGCTACGGCGACCACAAGCCTGTTAAGGAACAGGGATTCAAAATGAGGTTGGAGGCCATCTCTACTAGGGTGGAGGCCATCGCTAGTAGGTTGGAGGCCATCGCTAGCACGGCTAGCAGGTGCATTTGGCCAGTCATTGGAAGTTCTGGGTCTCCGCAGCTTCTGGTTCGTCTGGCCCTGGAAGACTCGGATTTTCGACAGGAGCAGCAGTGCCACCGGGGTCGTGGGCCAATGGTCAGAAACGATGCCACCGGGGTCCAGCAAGCTTGGTGAAGCTTGGATCGTGAGTCGTGAACTGATTGCATGGGTCATGCCTGATTGCATGCCTGGAGTCATGCTTGTCCATTTGCAGGTTCAATCCAATAAGCTGATGCATGGGGACAATATAATTCACAACCAGTCCAAGAAGCTGCAATTGGCAATTAGCTGGTGTATTGAAGGCTTCCTAAGGACCCAGACGCTCAAGCCCACACTGGCAGCCGAGCTACATTGGACGTTTGAGGGGTCAATGTAGGTGTGTGTGTATAATATATAACTATATAACGGTATACTTGACTATTACATACATGGAGTGTTTGGGTAATGGAGCATGGAAAAGGAGCAGGGTCGTGTTCCAGTTGTTCACCGGACAACTCCCAGCCCGCTTCGGGTTCTGTGATGGAGTCCAGGAGTCATGGCTGAGGACGCCAAGGTTGAGGCCGAGCCGAAGGGAGCCACACACTCGGTGGGTTTTCGACCTGAAGACTCCGAAGGAAATTCATTTCGGAAGACCTGAGGACTGAGGACTGTACCAATGTTTTTTCAGCCATGCACTTGTAGACGGGCCCTCCTGAAAGAAAAGGATGCATTTGCTTCTTGACTAGCAAATGGTTGGGATGCTTTGGCATTCAATATCCCATGGCCATTTGGCCAGTCATGGAATATTGACTGATTTTTTTTATGTCGCCGACAGCGGCACGTTTGATCTACAAGTTCCACTCTGAAATATATATATAAATATATATACATATATTCCTGTGGTAATGGGGGACTTGGATTCAACGAAGATGCTGTAGGTAGTAGGTTTTCTATGAAAGGGTACTGACTAGCAAGGGACCTGGATTCAACGCCAGTGAGCTTCCATCTCTCAGATGGAACCTAAAAGCATGAAAGCAGGCCCCAGGGCAGATTGGGTGATGACACTGGCTCGAGATGGCTTAAGTGGGAAGTGAGCGGAAATGGTTTTAATGATGTCATTTGGCAGTCGAGAAAAGGCTTGAGCTATCGCGTGGTTTACACGTGGCGGTACTACTCAAAGCCAGGAGATGGAGTCCTGTAGCTTTGCTATTCGACCTATGATAGTGTGGAAGTGATTTGGATCTCCCTGGAAGTGATTTGGATCTCCCTGTCTATCAAATATGGAAACATCTTGGAAGGCAACAGATAGAGGATCACACGCGAATTTGCGAAGAAGCACTGAGTGTGGCGAACTGGGGTCCCTCCAGGCTTGTTAGCCGATTTGGTGAGAAATTGGGAGGGAGTGGTCGTATACACCATTGATTGGGAGGTCGTGGTCACATGTGGTAACTGAAAGGCTACAATATATATATATATATTGGAGTCTAGCGATTTCTGGGTTTCAACTGCAGGAGAAGGACAACTTCGACGTGGGACCCCTGTCCAGCACTGAGTGTGGCATTTCGATTCTGAGAACTGCTGAGCCGGTGATGTGTCGTTTCTCCCTCATAATATCCCTGGGATTTATGGAAGTGTCTTGACTGACAAATACTCACAATTTATATAAGTGTTCAGAGATTCCCAGGAACTGAATTGAACCCGTTTGAGGTGAGTCAACTTACTTTGACCGACCTTGAAAGCAAAGATTAGGCCCGCCATGCTGACTGCTGCAGCTTTCTTTTTCAAATTAATAAGCTGTCGGCCTTGCAGATGAGAACAGAAGAATTCCCCTTCTGAAAACATGTAGTTTTATCATGTACTGATATGTACTGTATCTAATTTTGTGTTTGTTGCAGAAAATGAACAGAGGAGTGCGGACCACATGATATGGTTGGAGTTGGAGTGGGCATCATGAAAGCTTGGATGCCAAGCCTTTCTGCATAAGAGATGCCCTCAGACGTTTGTGTCCAGGTCCATCAGACGATTGTGAATTGAATCATTGTGACTCACATCCGTGATGGGACTTCGACTGCCAAGGTCAGTACTCCAGAAGTGCGTGAAGGACAACTCGCAGGCCACCATCCGCGGAGACCGCCAATCGGGCGCTTGGGTGCCGGTGGCTGTGAGGAATGAGCGGCTTCTTTCTGAATGGTAGGGAATGTCCTCACAGGACATGCTAGAAGTAGGCTGAAGGCGGAATGATAGACAACCAAAGCCTGGACTGTTCGGTTCTTGGGTGCTTTCAAAGAAAGAGCGAGGTAGCAAGATTCAAGCCAATGCAGCAAGAGAGATTCACGTGCATCAATTCTCAGCAGCTAGTTCAGCAAGTGGCTGACCTTAAGGTCGACAAAAGTCCTTTGAATGTCGTACGATCGTACGCGGTATACTTGCCAGCAATGTGTGAATCAGCGTGATGCAGTACACAAAGTCCAGTCTTATTAGAAGGTGGCCCTTTTTGTTCACAAAAAGTCAAGAACATTAAGCATTTTACACCACGAATGAATTGGAGCGGGAAGGCTGCTGGGACTGACCAGGAACTACCCCATAGCGCTGTTCGGCCCTGACTGGCACTTCACCCTAGAGTCCCTATTAGGGCTTTGGTTGAGCTTGAGATCCTGAAACAGAGAGAAGGTGCCAAACAAGTATCCCCTTTGATGAGAAAACAAACAGCAACAGCATGGCTGGATAAAACTACATTTGCACTATACTGCAACCATACCATGGTACGATTGTTTGACATGATACTATTGGTGTATATGGGACCCAAGATATCCTAAGATATCCGATGTCCATCAATGACCTCGTCGTGCCAGGTGCTCATCAATTGCCGCAACAACCGAAAGATCCTCGCGCGTGTGAAAGCCTTCGACCGCCATTCCAACATGGTGCCGGTCCCAAAGACGATCAGAATGACAGACTGGCAGATCCAGTTGGGGCAGTAGGTTTCAGAGGTAACTGTAGTGTATATGTATATATTCTATGTGTTTGAATCAACATATTTATGCATATGTATACGGTATACCTTCCCATCCCATGGAGTGTTTGCACGGATAGCCCCAGAAAAGTAGGTGCTAGTATGTACTTAAGTTTGTGTCGGTGACAAATCCGTTCTTGTGGCATTCAACAGAAGAGCCGGCTGAACCTTGATCGAAGTCACACGCTACGTATGACTCTTTTGTAAAGGGAAAGACACCCCGGGCCCCACTCTTCCTCAACTTATGAGGCAGTATTAAATATAGTAGCGGACTAGCAGTTAGAATGTTTAGTGAGGACATTCCTAATTCTAACTGCATCCCTAGAAAATTAAGCAATTCTAAGTGGTAGTCCACCACTATATATTCGATTGGCGTACAGCATCATTACTGCTAAATCAGCGTGGCAGCTCCACATGGTTCACCACTCTCCACCGACCAAAGAAGTACAGACGATCAAACACCTTTTGGATCCTGGTAGATCAAACTCCCTTCGCCTTAGCCTCACCAGTTCCAGTCCCTTCGAGGTGCCTCCTGGGTTTTCCGTTCTATCATTCCCTGCGCGGCTAGGTGCTGGAGAATGTCCGGGAGATGTGGACTGAGGTGCCACATGGGGGAAAAAAGAAGGCCAAGCCTGTGAACAAGGACCCCACCAGCTGAGCTGGCCAAGATGTGTTTCGGTCATGGACTTGTGCGTCTTGGTCATGGACTTCTGCTTTCCCAGGACCGCTTCATCAGCAAGATGTTCCTTCGTGGAGATTCTGTGATCCTGGTGCTGCGCAACCCCAAGCCGCTCAGCCCAGCCATTCAGTCATGCCCTTCCCAGCAGGGGTGCTTTTGCTAATGACCCTTTGGTTTGCCCTTCCCTACACCAGCGATTGGCTGGTACAGTCATCCAAATTGATCATTTGAAATGAGGAGCTCCAAGAAGAGACACCAAACTTGGTGTTTGTCTGACTCAAAAAGAGGAGCCAATGTCAAAGTCACAATGTGTTGCATATTGTTATACTGTATACAGCGGAGATGTAACATGTTGAGGGCCAACCGACCTGATGTTCGATCGAATGAAGCAATTCCGATATTGCGCGGGTGGGGGCATATTTATTTCACGTGTCCAGGGACCTTAGCTTGACATCACAAGGGTTTCTATGGCATCCCTTGTCACAAGACACCAAATCCAGCTATCGAATAGCAGATGACCGACCCAAAGACTTGCAGAAATGTTCGGATCTTTGGGTTTCTTAGAGATCAAATCTTCCAGTTTGTTGGACTCCTTGGGCTTCAAGCTTGGGGACACTGTGGGTCAACAGAGGAAATCAACCAGAACAACATCGGCTTGGTGATTGAAGCCCCCAAACACGCACGTATGATCACGCATGGACCAGAAGCCTCCGGGCCGCAATTCGCAGTTTACCCTCTTCCGCAGCGAGGTGAAAGAGACATCGTGCGGAATCCTAAAGGTGCTTGTGACAGACCTTGCTGTGAAGTGGAAAGAACTCGTACGTGGTCATACGGTCTCCCCTAAAATGGCATCACTGGTACGGTCTCCCACGGAAGGGTTTGGAACAATGCCGAATCAGTGCCCAGTGCAGAGTGCAGAGTCTACTCTTGGTCCTTAGCCTGCTATCAGTATTTTCCAAAGCTTTCGTTCTTGACAATGCCTCCCTACGAGGCATGATGGTACCAAGGCTTCTGACCTTGTCGGATAAGCCGGCTGTGGATTTCAAGAGGTCCGAGGTTAGCATAGGTCCCTTGTGAAGCTCCATGACCAAAGGGTAGAGTGGCCGAGGAGTGGCCCTCCATTTGGTCTTATACCTATATAGAGAGATACCTCTTTAAGATTCTTTAGTGTGGTAATTATGTGAACATGTGAAACCATATGAGACCTTGTGAAACGGCTAACCTGTCTTAAGAGAGGACTCTTCAACATGTTGTGCCGTTTTTTGTTAGGCTTAGGAATACCCTATTGATGGATGAATCTTAGCTTTACGAAGGCCAGATGCCGAGCTTTGCTGAGGCTGTGAGCTTTTTGCCGCGTGCAGGGCGGCTGACAGGGGCTGGCATGGCTGTTGGAATCACACAAGCCACAAGCCTAAGTCTATTGAACAGAAAGATTGCAGAGAATTGAGAAGCGCATCGGCACATGCATATGTCCTAGGTGTTATAGTTATAGCCTTCAAACACACCAGTGATTTGCAACAGTCAACAGGCTCAGTCACCGAAAGCCTCGGCTGCTGTATCAGCCCAGTAAGGCCGTGGACACGGTCAGGTTCTGTCTGTGTGCCTACTGATTGCAGCATGCTTGTCATGGTCTTGTCTAAATCAGTTTATCTTAATTTATATAATTAGTGTGATCATTTGTCGCTCATTGAATCATCATGGATCAGCTCCCTACAACTTACCAAGCGAACAACTATACCTTCATCAGCTCCGGGCACTTTGCGAGGCAGTGCCTATATTGACCACTTGCGAGGGCAACAAAAAAGATGGATCCCTTTTGGATCAATCAATTCGGCGGAGTGGATCACCAAAAATCCAGATTTCCTTCAGTGGATCTCGCCCAACATGTTTCGGTGATGTTCTCTAGATTGTTTTGTTTTCCGTAGAAGGAACCGGATCACCATGTTGTTTTTTTGGCATCATGATGAGGATCGGTGTTCCACATGTTGAAACAGGTCTGGTTGAAGTGGACACTATCAGTGCAGGTTGCCAGCTATCCAGTGGATTGAAGTGGATTGTTGGAACAGTGATGATGGTGGATGTCTTGGGTCACCAGCTACCATCCTTGGATGTTTCGTGCATCGTCACATGGGTGGATCGTTGCATGTCAGGTGGCTTTTGGCGGGTTGAGGAGCGATTTTACGGTTTTTCGGCCTCCCATTGACTGACCAAGTCGCCGTTCAGCTCGCCTTTGGACCGCATCCCACTGGACCGCACTCTGCGTTCTGCATGCGGTCCTTGCAGCCTGGTTCAGAGGGTGGAGGGATGGATCGATGGAACAACAGCTAGTCTTTAACAGCATGGAACAACGTGGTTTGATATCTCCAAACTTGCCATCAGACGATTCTGAGGTACGAAAATGGTGCAAAAAACGAGGTAAGGCCAGACCGGGCCTCGTTTTTTTTCTTGCAGCCATAGACATTTACCATCAGTAAACAAACGTTGAGATATGTTGAGTTCTACTGATGTCTATTGAGCCTTGACGCTGATGTGAAGTTGAACCAGCCAGCTGGACGAAGGTCCACAGAGTCACGGAATCCAGCGCTCGATGGGGCGCACGCGCGCCTTGCTCCTGTGTTGGCTTGCTGTCCTCCGCGCGGTGTTGGCCTCCCGCGCTGGAGTGGCCCTCGAGGAGGATGTCGCCACGTGGGTGCAGCTGCGGAGCAACCGATCAAGGAGAACCAGACACACGGTGGCTCAGACTTTGCATGGCACGTGGAAATGAGTGCAGTAAGACTTGGAAAAGGTATTGGATCGGCCAACTGGGACAGTGGATCCCCCCGAGTCCCAGAGTCCCAGAGACCGCGATAGAGGGTCTCGGGTCTCACGCTTTTGGATGTAGGGATCTTAGGTTCGGCCCAGTTGTGTCGGACCAGCTTAAAGTAGCGGTGGCTATGGTAGATAGTAGACTTAGTAGACCATGTCACATGTCCTTTTGGAAATCTGTCACCTGACTACCATCATTGACCATCAACAGACGGTAGTTTGAGACGTTGAGCCTCCAAATCCACCAATCATCCCAAACACTCATATTATGGAGACGATCATTTGACCATGACACCAAAGGGCTTCAAACAGGTGACTGTCCAATTCCGAAGCAGTGCGTTGCCAAAGAAGCTAAAGCTACACTTTGACATCATGTTTTTAATGCTTTGTTGAGATTCGGGACTGGATTCTGAAAAAGCGATCCAGTTGGAGCCAGCCTGAGGTCTTGCTCTCCAACAATCTCTACTGGCAGGGTAGCTCGTTGCTAAGGTTGGTTCGCTGTGTTTGTTAGTTCTGGAGAAAGTGTCATTTCATGGAAACCTGGTCCGGTGCAATAGGGAGGACTGTATTTCTGCGTAGTTCGGTGTGCGTAGTTGACTATAGAAATGAATGGGCGTCCAATAAAAGGGTCAGCAGACTTTGCGGTTGGGGATACGACATGCTACAGCCCATGAAATCGATCGATTCGGCTTGGCTCCATGCTGTGACTATCGCTGTGAAGAACAGAAGTGTGTAGTTTAACTATTAATAGGGAATTGGTGGGAAACCTACCACGAACGGGTTGTGGTATATTGGAATCCTTCTTCTGGGCGGTCGCACTTGGGAGATCTTGAGGGGTCTCCCTATATTCCAATACACACCCAAGCGACCGCTCTGACCGCTCAGGATACGGTGGGGAGACGCTCTGGAGCTATTTCATCGGCTCGCTCGGGCAAGACGTGGTGCATTTGGGCGGCGTGCGGGGCCACGCGCGTGTGGGGCTGAATTTGAGGCTCAGCTTCGACAGCGTTGGATCAGAGGTAGGTAGTTCATGGAAGATGGCTTGGAGGCTCCTCCAAAGTTAAGTAGATCAGACGATGAGGGTTGAGGCAGGTTAAAATCAACATGGAATGATAATTGATCCATGGTATTTAGTTGTTGCTGTTGTTCTTGTCCTTGTCACGTGTTGTTGTTCTTGTTGTTGTTGTTACCTAAGATCCAAAGGGGTTCCAACTTGTTCACATTTTGTTCATTCAGAATCATTCATATCTCAAGCTCATGTTTGTTAATCTTGGGGTCATGTTTGTTATGGTGATTTGTCATGTAAACTCGGGATTAGACAAGATATTCTGAATAAAGATACACAGACGCCTAGAATATCTTTGCTTTGCACAGCCTTGTTCTGCTTGTTTTGGGTGGGTTCGAGCGTTTTTGTCAGCGGGAGTACTTTGTGTTTCCTCATTGGGGCTGAGACGCCTATAGGCAATGTGGGTTGCATGTTGGTAGAGAGAAGCCGTTACCAAATATCCACTGCCTGCATCCCCAAAATAACAGTCATCAAGGAAAGTGATGGCAAGACGGCCAGAAACTAGAACCATTCCATGCTTCATGCAATCCAAGAGAACGACCACCAGGCAGGTGTATTGAAAGGGAAGAAGTTGATCAGGTTTAAGACTGAAAGAGGAACGAAGACTTGAGTAACATCAACTCTGCGACAAGAGATTTGCCCAAATGGATGGTCGATGATGGTGGCCTTCGGTTTTAATATTGGATTAAAGAGGTTGTGCCGAGCGCTGGACAGTCTTTTGATGGGCAAAGCGCCCAGGATGGGCAATATGCCCATGGGAGACATTTCGCAGACCGTCAGCACAGATGTGGCTGGCACGCAATCAATGTGTTCGTCATCGACATGGACCTGCCCCGTGCAGTAATTTGTCAGCCTCTTAAGCAGCCCCATTCCTTTAAGAAGTCTGCAGGTGTTTTCTTCGTTTGTGATGATATGTGATGGGTGTCTCAGGACTCTTAAGCTGCAAAGCTGGTAAGAGTAGAATGGGCTAAAATGTGGTCCCCTGTGTCAATTCGGTCGGCCCATGCGCTGCACAAATCATATGGTTGATGGGCACAAGATCCGAACCGCGACCTGGGATAGAGGATATTGTAGAATATCATATGAACATCGATGAAGCGTATATCCTGCTGCTCATGTTTCTTGGGCTGTTGACACTGTCCACTGTTCAACAGAGGCAATTGTCTCAAGTTCCCAATGATTTGTTGGGCTGACTGTGCCAATGTATTGGGCCTGAGAATGCAGCTGCCGCTGCTTGTGTTGTGTCGGACCAGCAAATCAATGGTTCACCTTGGCTCCCATCGCCCCGTTCAGCTACAGTCCAAAAAATCATCGAGAGTACTCCCTTAATTCACCCGCAATAAAAGCAACATTAAACAACACTCCTCCTGGGTATTTGGGGGTCCAAAGTTGTTTATGTGCAATCGACATTTGTACCTGAGCTAGGTGGGTGTTTTGGGCCTTCTGCCTGGTTGCTTCGCGGGCTGTCGTGGCCCTGATGACTTTGATGATCTTCTCACCATCTTCGCCAGAGACACTTTGGCAAGGCATTGCAGGGAGTTTTCTTGTGGCTTTTCTGGGACGGTGATTTGGAAAGCTGGTTGCTTGACTGGCTGGTTGAGTTGGCTCATTTGTTCGTTACGTGGGTTGTGGATTTGTAGGTGGATGTAGGTGGTCTGATTGGTTGATCACCGGCTTGGCTGGTTCATGGACGTTGGACTTGGTCATCCATATGCTTCTTGGCGACCACCTAGCCGTTGAGGTGGAACGAACATGCCAAGACGTCAATGGACTACTTTGCACTGCACTTTGCACTGTCTTGATAGGATACACCTTGAATAAACTGCGATCAGTAGAATCCCCCGCCGATATCAAGGAGGTCTTTTGGGGTCCTGTCACCTGATGTGTGGCCTGTCACACGCCTAGTGTCGTCCTTTCTCATGACCATCCCTTGAATTCTGCTCACATGCTGGAACTTCAGCCCTCCCTTGTGTGATTTGACATCCTCCTGTGGTTTTAGGCCAAGGACACGAGGACATCAAAACTACGTTTTGGGCCTGGCTTCAACGTGACGCCAAAGTTTGTCTGCTCCCAGCCGCTTCTGTGATCCGTGACGCGGTTTCTTTCGGGGCATAGGTATCAAAAAAAAATAAAAAGAGCATCAAAAATAAAATAAAAACAGGATCAAAATAAAAATAAAAAGCGAATCAAAAAATAAATATTCCTTGATAGGCCTTTTCTGCTGCTCTCCTGGCCTTGTGGTCTGCGGGTCCTCTGGTAATGTGGTCCCTTGGTCCTCTGGTCCACTGGTCCTTTGGTCCTTGAGTCCACTGGTCCCCTAGTCCTCCGGTCTCCTGGTCCTCTGGTCCTGTGGTCCGCTGGTCCCCTGGTATCCTAGTCCTTCTGTCTCCGAGCGCTCTGACAACGCCATGTAGGGCCTAACTTCGTGTGAACGCCGTGACTACTGCTACTGCTACCACTACTACTACCACTCCTCCTCCTGCTGCTGCTGCTGCTGGTGCTGCTGCTGCTGCTGACTGCTACTGCTACTGCTACTGCTAC